CTCTAAATGATAAGGTTTAATGAACTTCTCACAGCACCCCGATAGAGTGCAGTGCGATTAGTAGCTGTCCCAGTTTGTGAAAGGGGAAGCCTAGCTGTGCATTCCTCTCTGCCATTCATCCTATGCGCAAAACGAGAGTGAACATCCTCTGAGAATGAGGTTAGGTACGCATCTTTCCTCTTTACCTCTTCTCCCCACTTCCCTATGTTGTCCATATCAACTCTCGTTCACTCACTGGCAATCTCTCTTTTGCCGGATTACCCCGGGAGAGGACCTCCATCGATAGGATGTGCAGCAATCCGAACGAACCTTCCTCTAGAACATGGACATGTACATTGCCCCTTTCCTTGGGCGCAGCCAATATTGTCAATCCCAGCCAAACCACTCATCTATAGACAAAACTGACACTGCCATTAGACTCGCACCGCCCCAAACCCCCCATGTAGACACTTCATCCCTTCGAATCCGCTCAGAAATGAGTGAGGTAAGTTTACTTCCTCCTTCTTCCTCCCTCCTCCATAGCTCCTCGCAGTCTGATTCTCATCTAACTCCTAACTCGCTGACCCATTACCAAAACTAACAACATAATCTGTTTCGCCCAGCCCAAAAACCTCTAAAACGAGTCTTCTCTCGCTCGATTTCGCTAAGAAACGAGCGAGATACTTGACTTATACTCCCGGCCATATCCATCCTCGAACGCCTCCGCGCACCACTTTTCCAGTCTAACTCTTTCTCTACCCAACTAACGCTAAAACTAACAACACCAATGAATTGGCCCTACCCAAAAACCCGAGTTTACCACCTTTCCCCGCTAGTTTTCACTGCGAGACGAACGGGTCATGCCTCTTTCACCTCCTCCATAGCTCGCTGCTCCTGCGTTGTTGCACTCTTTCGTTCTGCGCATGCACCCAACGCAGAATCCCGCTCTAATTCATTCACCACTTTCCCCCCTTTTCTCTCTCTCTTTTTTTTTTTTTTTCATCCGGATTCAAGCCATCTTCTCTCTGCCTTCTTGCTCCCTTTTTGCACCCGTCCCTCCTCTTCTACGCGCTGGCCGCTGTCTCCCCACTGCACTGAGCTGCCTGTTCACCCGTATACCTGTCTCTTATACACATCTAGATGTGTATAAGAGACAGCCCGTATACCGTACGGGTCTTAGTTGACGCAGGCAGCGGGTCGGCGGTCATGAGAGCCGAGCACTTGCCAACTCAATCAACCGAAAGACTGATAGCGGTGTGGCACGCGACCTTGCGGTAGTGAACCTGGCATCACTGCGGGTTCGAGGGCGTCGGGCCTGCTGCGCAGCCAGCCACACATGCCTTGCGAAGCGGGTCCGGTGCAGTTCTTGGTGGTAGTAGTACCCCTTCAAATGAGAACTTAAAAGGTCGAAGTGGAGGTGGGTTCAATCTCGCATCTGCTGCTGGGATAGCCTGCCGCACTACGAAAAATGCGGCAGCCTCCCATGGGTACCCGCTGGCCCCACCCCGCTCAGGCATAGTTCACCATCTTGCATGCCCCAATGGCACGCTCACTCTCACACCTCTCACAACAGATGGTGGGGAGCGGACGATGCACCACATCGGTTGGCCCTTGGCCGACACCACCCACCTGTTGCAGCAGGTAGTGCACCTGTTTGGTGGGGCAGATCCCGCATGTTCCCTCGCTGGAGGCTTGAGCACGGATGTGGCTGCTATGGGGTTCCCTATAACCCGCAGCCTGTTGCCGTACCGCTACAGCCTCTCCACAATGACCCGGGCTGCTTTGCCTCTCTGCACCCGGGCACCGGTCACCATTTTTCGTGTCCCAACGAACACGCTCACACACAAACCTCTCACAACAAATGGTGGGGAGCGGACGGTGCACCGCAAGGGCTGGCCCCGCCATTCAGCCTTTTCTCCTGCACCGTGGGCCAACCTGAAGGGCGCACACCCAAGGTCCCCGACTCCGGCGACGGCAATCTGTGCCCGGGAATACCGTAACAGAGCCCGACGCATCGGTCCCGACGTCAGCCTCGGAGCCCATCATCGAGTCAAATGCACAAAATAAAAATTGGAAAAAAAAAAAAAAAAAAAACAATGCATAAAAAAAAAAAAAGTGGGGGAACACAAACACAAAGGGGACAAGGGGTTGTACGTCCCGCTGGCCTGCGACGCCGCGCACACCCCGACCACGCAGGGTTCTACCTTGGCATCAATACCCTGCGCGTGCCGCCCACCCTACGAGGACCTAAGCTTTCTCTGTCGCGCATGCCGTCGGACTAGCGAGGCCTGCACTCCCGTAACTTGCAGGAGACACGCCAAATACCCTTGTAAGGGTATTTGGTACGACAACCTGCCCGAACCTTATTAAGCGACGTCCCCGTCGCAACGAATGCTTAAACCAAATACCATTCAAACACAGCCTTCAGAAAAAGTATACGATAACCTTCTCGAGTTCTCACCTTCGGCTAAAACGGTCATTTAGTCGTATCCACTCCAAGTCTCGACCCTTGAAAAGAAGTGGACAAAATCACTAGCTAAGAATATCATTTAATCCCTGATAAAAAAAATAGAAATCTACAATAGCCAAATATTCGGCTAAGCACGAACACTTTTCAACATCCAATTTAATAAAGTGGATAAACCCACTCTCCACCCACTTCAATCACGGACAGGAAGTCATCCAATGCCAAACTTAAGACTACACCCTTTCCAGTCTCTTTGAGCGATATTTTGTCGCGTCGGGCACCCAGATCATCCCACCATTAATTAAAACTCGAACTCAGTGGTGGGTTACAACGACCATTCAGACTCAACTCAATCATGCATCCCTTTCAAGCTTTTCTCAAAGTAATGCCGTATTGTGGGGAATAATCAGACACCTCAATCCTTTAGCTAATCTAAAAGATTAGGGAGGTTGACCCCATCACACAAGCCACAAATGTACCTTATGGGTAGGGCCCCGTTAAGCCCAGTCCCACAAGTCATTACTGTCACTCAAAAGCCACTCATTTCACTGATTCATCAACCAGATGGGTAGGGGCATTCACTAAGTCTTTCAAAATAAAAGAAAATTACCCCTTTTGTCCATAGATCCTACTTTTATGAGTAGGGTTCTTCGCTTTCATCGTACACATTGTCAATCTCAGCCATAAGCTTTTGCTTAGTGAGCCAACTCTCATAATCTTTTTCCAAATAAAACTCAACGCCACTTTTAACCAAAACTATAGCCGATTGGAGGGCCCCATAATCAGGCCGATCCTTCCTGCCGTAGATGACACTCCCACCGGCTATTAGTCAAAACTTTTGTTTCTCTCAAGGAGTCTTAATCATGGAAGTCCCCGTCGCAGACTAGACCGCTTGTGGCCCATAATAAGTTGAGTGAAGGACTCACAACCAGCAGGCCTCCATATTGCCTATGCAACCTTTACCAACTTTTATGTGACTACGCAAGCGGGGATGCCGAATTGAACGGTTCTCTCCTTACCCCCTGCCATACGCAAAACCACCCGGGACTTACAGCCACTGGCCAGGCAAGGGCTTTCTTACTTGACAGGTTTCCTTGCCGCAAATGACACCCTTACTGGCAGTTGAGGACCAACAGAGTGGAACTGCCGATTTGGCTAAGGATAACACTAACTCTATAAAAATCTTCTTAAGCCACCCCTTCCTCTCGAGGGTGAACCTTCCATAAAACCTTTTAAGACCCCTTCCCACTTGAAGGAGAATCAACCATACTATCCCTCAGCCATCCTCCCACTAATGGATGGGTTGTTTATATAACCTTAAAACATCCTTCACTTGACGATGAACTCAAAATAACACCAATCACCTTGTCAGGCCGCCCTCGGGCATAACCTCTCTAAATATGATTTCTGGACTCTTGATGTCTCCCAAAAATCTTTCACTGATAATCACGCTTTCTTCTTTTCATCGTCAATTAAAGCGTTACACAAAAGACCCACAAGGCCACAATGGTGAGAATGCCAATGGCAACCAGAACATGCACGATTCTGCAACCCAGGGAAATCAAAACCCATACCAAGAAATGGTTCCCAGAAGAAAATCACATCATCTCGAGTCTCACATCCTTACAAGTCTTAAATCCCCATAAATTCATGCCCCAATCAAACAATCATACAGATCCTAATGGACTACCATACACATACTGATCTCAAACGTTCTCGCAGAAATGAGTGAGCGTCAACGTACAGACAACCAATCCTTAAAAGATCTCCACCAGTATCTAACAAAAGCTAACGCCAACTTAAAAAAGTGGATAGTCAGATCCAAAACGTCCGCACAATCCCAGAAGGTAAAAACGCACACTCGAGATCAGAAATATATACAAGATGAATCCCAAGTCTCGTAAAAATTATAGATTCAGCTTAAAAGGCAAAATAAGCAGATAATCGTTTATTAGTTCTAACAACTGAGTCTTCCACACCGTCATAGTCTTTCGGGCGTCTGTTTATTAGTCATTCAAGGTTGCTGACAACACTCTACCTCTCTCCTATTATGAATGCGACAAATAATAGCTGCTCGAAAAGACAAAATCCCTTATCTAGGCAAACGACCTCACCCCTCAACTCCTCTCTTTGCCATCTTACATCTGCGAGGGGTATGACGAGTCTTCCCACAACAAGCACACGTTATCCTTGCCCACTGTTCTCGCCCTCTTCTATTCCTTCGTCCTGTCCGACTTACAACTGACGATGTTCCCTTGTCATCACACTCCCTATTAGGATCAGATGCAGTGTGCGGTAGGGCTATACCAACTTCTTCATGAACCCTTTGCTCCTCTATTCCCTTCTCGCCTGGAGCGTCAAGCGTCCTCTCACAGGTATGAGTTGCGACATTCCTCACTCTAGCCTGCACCTCTTCTCTCATCACCTGATTCATTTTTCTTCTCTTTGCTCCATCTGTGATTTCGCTTGACGACCTTAGCGTCCTTCTGAAATCCACTTTTCTTACCATCAGAGGTGCATGTTGCAGGGTCATCTGGCCCTTTTCCAAACTCACCCCTCTCATTATCCAACGCCTCCTTTCTTTTCCTTGCTTCTCGCAGAGTATGACAGAGGTACTGGTCGAAATCCCCTTGCTCAAAGTTCTCTCGTATTTTGTCCCACACGAGCCTTCCTTCTGTCCCACGGATTAGATCTCGCTGCTCAGCGTCTGTGAAGTTCATGAGGAAGACAAAGCACTTGTCACGTTCAGACAACGCCCTGACCTTGTGGGATGCGTGCTCATACTCCGCCAGGAAGTGCCCTACTGACACATAACTATATCGATCTATCTTCTCAAGATCGTCTTTGGTCAGTTGTTCCTCCCCTAACCGGTATTTATTCCACATGTCATCATAAAACTTCCTCCATGATGACCCCGCTCTTCTAACCAACCCACCGACTTCGTCCTTCAAGCCTATATGGATATACTTTATGACTTCCTTCAGCATCTGCTCCTCACTCCATTTGCAGTGGGATGTTATCTGTTGAAACTTATAAAGGAAGTCAAAAACACTATAGCCCTTGAAGAAGTCAATTTCAACCTTGGGTAGGTTGTCTCGCTCCCAATCACGCACACCGAGCAGGTAGGCAAGCTCCTCGACCCCAATCTTCCCTTGAGAGTCCTCCATCTCGAGCTCCCTCGACCCCGTCACCTGTTGAACAACAACAAGCGGCGTTAGGGTTGAGGCTCGAAAGGAGTTACGCAACTAAATCTAATGCAGAATATATCCCTACTAAATTAAGTCGTTCTTATCATGAAAGCACATATAAGGATCTATTCGGCACAACGGCGATACCGAAGAGAGTCTTTTAAATAAATATCCACCTAAGATAAAACATAAATATTCACTTATAAATCCCTCAAATCACAACTCAGGCGTCGATCACTTATGATTTCTATTATTAAGGAAGGACACAATATACATATGTCACATAGGTGGATACTCCAAACACGAATACGAAATGCAGTACAACCCATGATAAATAATATATACTTACAACAACAATCATAAAATAATAGACACAACTTATTGGCAGGGGTTGTAACTGAAGGACACAATATGCTTTATAAACAACAATATGCCACCAACTCAACTGTCACTCATATAACAGGATAACTCTCGATAACGTATTCCATATCCTATAAGGCAAAAATAAGACTAGCAATGAGTAAGTAACATGATACAATGGTTACCCCTTCAATTCTTAAGCGAAGCATATATTCCAGAGGGGCGGTGTAATCCTCATAGGATAACATCTTAACTCCTGAGCCCCGCTCTAAAGATCAAGCCTCACCGCATCCCTCTCTTATTCCAGCGCTTGCACCTTACCGACCGTATCATGGTCAGATGGACAACCCCATTCATACCTATCAAGGCAACGAACAACGAATCCACGCCTTTACAAATATGGTGGCCCTGCTTAACGCGAGATGAGCCTAGGTCGCTACTCCAGAACCGCTCTCACTAAGCAGTAGCTGTTCCGCTTGGCCATCACAATTTCGGTAAGGTGACAAACCTATTCCTCTTTTCTCAACAGATAATGTAGTTACTTTCCTATCATAGGAAAGGTAACAACACCCCACTATTGGACCAGGAACATAATTCCGGCGTGGGTCTCACTATCATTCTTGAGACTGATAACCGCTTCCTTAAGCCTTAACGAGGAAGTAACAATTCAAGCATGCACTTCCACTGAGGACAACTATACATGCAGACTTACTCCCTTGAGGAAGAACCACCTTCCCCAGGAGTGAGTCACCCCATTCACCTCTGGTCCCATGCCAGATGTAGGTTTCATGCAAGGTCTATGTCCTCTTCGAAAGGCAATCCATACATACGTCCTCAATCAAACATCAGACAGAATACAAAAAAAACATCAGTCAGATAAAAACCATTATATATACATATATATTACACATTTTTAAAACATAAGTCTCTCTTCGGGTTAGTCATACCGCTAATCGAATAACCACTACTTTTTTAGCTTTATCGATAGCTACCACTAGACAATCTCCAAGTGACTCACTCCATCGCCAAATAATACTATCAATGGTTCAAGGTACCATATTCATCGCAGTACCTATTACACCATAATTCAGTCTGAACTCAAGGAAAATTTTTCCATTAAACCCCTCACTTCGTGCTTATCAGTCATCCCCTCATCCATGTCGCTCACGTTTCAGCAACCTCTTCTAAAGCGGCACTCTTTTGGCAAAGGGGTAGACGTCTCAACTTAACGTCTTTACACCTAACACATAACTTACATAATAAGTCACTAGCCTCGTAGCCTTGGGAGTTATCAACTCGGCTTGCTTCGGGGATAGACATACCCATCAATGCGGATGCTGCCTTAACTCAACCACGGCCGCATCAGATATGTCACATATCGCCCAATTATCAAAAGATACTTAGGATGACAAGGTGCTCGTTGAGACCACTATTATATGCGTCATAATACTTAAGTGTATAGCCAAACACTTCCTTCCTCAAGTAAACTGTGCATACACTGATAATCAACGCTTATCACTCTTAGGCTACAGTTTTTAAGATATCCCCAACGATAGTCGAAGCATCAAGCAATCGACCATGTACATCGAAATAAAACTTCTCCTTTTGCCTAGTTCTCACTTTCTCATACCCGGATGTCGTTCCACCAGGGACAACGGCAGGCAACCGTTATCCCCGACAACGGCGCCACCTGTCGAGCGCATCGGTCCGGCACCGCACAAGGGCAGCGCGGGACCCTCCCGACCGCGTCAAGCAGGAGTTGGAATTAATCCTCGTCGCAAATACACATGGAACTTCCGCAAGCCGCTCCGGCCGAGTGCGCCAGCCATACCTCTCGCAAGCCCCTACGAGAGGATAGGGCCTACGCGAGGCACGACTTACCTCCACCTTACCGGAGTTATCACCTCCCTTCGGTGGGCGTATCCCCGCCGAGCTACCGGTCCACAGTACGAAAGCTCATCAGTTGCAATCGCAGAGGTGGAACAGCCGAGGGTGTTTCTCGTTCGTTGTAGCATAGGGGGTACGCGCGATATTACGCCTCTATCGAACCCGCACGCGAACCGACATCTTGGGGGGCTGAGGTCCCAAGCGCGACTTGTCGCCCACACGCCACGCGCACACCACTATAAAGAACATAAGCGTCCCGCGCGAGACTTAGTATAAAACCGCATGGACGCAGGGCTAGCTCATATCGACTTGCAATGCAAGCGTACGCAAGCGGTCGCAGTGCTGACGTACTATGTAATACCCATACTTATGCGGTCCTCGTTAGTCTCGAGGGTCGCGTTGGACAGTCAAGTGTCGGCTGACACGCGCCTTGAGGGAATTGACCTCTCGACGCTGGACAACCGCCAAGTGCGGTTGACAACCACACCCTCTTCTGCACCCTGCAGAGAGTGGGTGGTACACAGGTTCATACCTGTGGTGGCAATCGTCTCTTATTGCCTTGGAGACCAGCTCCATCACCCAGGGTCTGGAAAAAAGTCAAGGGGTTTGACTTTGACGGCTGCCACGGACTATAACGTCGATTAATCAAAACTTCTGTTTTTTGGGTTGGTTTTGGATTTTTGTAAAATTCTACCAACTATCAAACTTAATAAGCTAAATCAATCAGTAAATAAATAAATATCCAGACTCATATATCAAATCAGGACTCGAGATAGAAATAAAAGAAATGGGGAAACATAAACCCATCAGGTATGCAGATCGTGCGACACATGGTTGTCATTCTCACTGTCTCCAAGGTATGGTCCATATACCGAGCTCCAAAATACTAACCTGCATAAAACACACACACACACAATAGCCACATTGCCATATACCAATGTGGTCAACTTTACTGTCCCCTATAACTCACACCACGCTTCACACACTCAAGCCCCAGTCATAGTCCAAATCTCCATAATTCTCACAAATTCTTTATAATGGCCATTTAAAAGAAGTCCGGTTAAAACCCTCAAAGAAACATATCAATACTCAGAGCTAAGGCAATCAAGTTGAGGTACAGGTATAAGCAAAGTTGTGTCGTGAGCCGACGAGTCGGCGATCAACCAACCGACCTGTTATCAATGATAACAGAAGATGATCCCTATGAGATCAAGCCGAAACTAATCCAAATCCTGGATCGAATGTCCAAAGGAGACCTGTATCATACGACAGGTCAACGTCCAAGCTAAATCGTCAGTGTATGGAGATCAAATCCCCAAAACACGTTCTCTCTCAAGACTCTCATGATAGCCAGCCTAGGTTCACCCCTAAGCCAGTGCCCAAAGAAAGGTAGACTTATGGCAGAATCTCCTCCATACAAAGTGAATTTGCCACCTGTCAAAATATAATCTATCTCCTCTAAACTAGGAAAATTTCGGCAACACTTCCCGTAGGAAAAAGTGCCTTCTCAGAGCTTATATCAGCCTAAATATGAAAACAGAAATAATCTTCGACTTTCCAAAGTCAAATTTTGTCTCACTCCCTGAATTAGCAAAAATTTGGGCAGCACTCCCTTTAGAAAAGGAGACTTCCCAGATGTTTACTAAGCCATATATAAAAATTAGACAAGTTGAACTTTTGAAAAGTCAACTTTTGACTAACTTCTTGGATTTGCAGAAATTTCGGCAGCGCTTCCCGTAAAGAAAGTAGCTTACCAAAATTTATACAAGCCAAGTTCAGAACCTAAAATGACTTTGACTCTAGGTTGTTGGATCGGACGTCCGGGACCTCCGACCGGACGTCTGGTCGGACGTTTGACCGGACAGGGGTTGTCCGGCCTAGCGAGGGAGACGACCGGCCCCCGGACCATTGGTAACCTAGCTTTGACTCCTCAAGGTCCAATTTTATCTAACTCCCTGAATTAGCAAAAAATTGGGCAGCACTCCCTTTAGAAAAGGAAACTCTCCATATTTTTTACTAAGTCATATATAAAAGTCAGACAAACTGAACTCCGCAAAAAAAAACCTGACTAACTCCTTGGTTTTGTAGAAATTTCTGCAGCGCTTCCCGTAGAGAAAGTGGCTTACCAAGATTTATACAAGACCAAGTATAACAAATGATCGCAGAAAATGCAGAAATTGATCTAAGTAAAATAAACTTAGCTCAGAAAATGCAGGAATTGCAACTAACTCCTATGGCTCTAGCACGTGGCAAGCAACTAAAGCAACTACCTATCAAACTAAAACTCAGACTAAGTAGTAGCGTCACTTAGTCGCATGCAGGCCAGACCACAAAGGTAAGTACTCTCACCATCCCAAGTCAACCTGTACAAACAATAGTTCGTAGTCTTTCAGTGATTTATCCCTTTATACCCAGCTTACATAAAAGATAAAGCTAGACCAACCAAACATATGGAACATGTCTAGCTCAGCCATGGAGGATACACAAACACAGGGCACAACAACTTTTCTCTTCTTTGGGCATATGACTAGGCAACCATAGTCGCCCTGAACTGTTTAAGTATCCCAACTTTATATAATTGTTCGCACTTAGTCTTTTGAGGTAGCATATAACTGAACAGATCATCTTCAGAAAAATTCAGTCTGCCCCTTCGTACCACAAGTTTATTTTTAATTAGTACTCCCTTCAATTGGTGATAAGCTATAGTCAGACCACCCAAACTTATGGAACCCTGTCTGACTAGCCTGTTCATAGATAATATAATAATAAAGTATAGCCAAATTATAACCTTCTGGTTCCAGCACGTGCGAGGCGTTGGGCCAAGACCACCCAAACTCATGGAACATGTCTTGGTCCTCAGCCTGGGTCGTTTCTCTTAAAACTAAAGCAGGAAGAGGGTGAGTCACCCAAACTTATGGAACATGCTCAGACCTCCTCATTCAGAAACTAAAGAAATTGACAAAACCCCGAAGTAAATAAGGCGACCAAGCCACCCAAACTTATGGAACATGCTTGGTCCCTGAAAGTCAAACACACTCAGCCCTCACAAGTCAGAGCAGCCAGACCACCCAAACTTATGGAACATGTCTAGTCCTTCAGGCAATTCAAAAATAAACATAGCACTGGGCCTTCCCAAACCCATGGAACTTGCCCAGCCTTTGGTCAACCCAGTCAAACACATGCAATACAACCTTTTTCCCATCCTCCCCCAGATGCAACCCCACAATCTGCTTTTAGTCAAACAACGAAACCTGAAACTGACATTGCGCACACATTCGTTTACTTGGTCTCGTTATGTCCTGAAAGTCAAACTGAAAGTCAAAATAGGGATGCATGCAATATACTCAGTCAAGACGTAATAAGTAATACAGATAGGGGCTACAACTGGTGTATAGATGGAAAGTAGTAGTTACCTCTCAGTTCTCTGCCTCCAGAACCCCTCCTAAGTTCCGACAGAGCTCCCGCAATCGGTGGGCTGACTCCCCACAGAGTCTTGTTGCGGTCCTACAAGTTGCAATCCCGCCTGCCGCCTTCCTCTCAGAAAAGGGTTAGACTTAGAGTAAGAAAGACAGAATGAGGGGTTTCAGACGCTCGAGATACAAGAGGAGGACAACTCAACTCTCACGAGAGGGCCTTGATACCTTCACTCGCCTGAGGGCCCCGCAATGGCAGCCAAAACGCGCAGCAGCTCGATCAGATTGAAGTCAATCCTCAGTTATTGACCCTCTGACGATCCTCCAAATTGCAGTAATAACCCCCCTTCACAAGCCTGATCGTGCCATCAAGTCCCACTACCTTAATCCCATACAGCACCGTCGCCTGACAAACATTGCATACCTCCCTCGCACGTCATCCAACTGTTGGCAACGCGTAGCAATACACAACAAAAAGGCTACCTATTCAGTCCATTGCAGTCCGCACTTCTAAACAAAAGTGACCTCGCTGCGCAGCAATGACTGAGAAGTGTGCACAACGTAAAGTAAGGTAGCACATCGACGCATCCTTCCTTAACTAAAACTCTAATTCGCAGTCTTTTAATGAAAATACTTTCAAATAGAGCCTCCAGTATCAGTACACAACGTCATGGAGGCTCCTCAACACCGCCTTAAACGCAACATGCTGCAGTCGTGCTGCAACCACTAACAATGTGCAGCCCGTAGACTCTGTACCTTCCCGTAAAACACAGACCACCCTCGTTGTAGGCACATAGGCAACAACTCAAGATACATGAGTTAAACTTACTATAATGCCTAGGCTAGGTCACTAAGATACACAGCAAAACGTTGACGAATAGCAGTCTATTGTACTCCAAGGTACAACAGCCATGAGATAGCCTTGACTCTTTAGAACTTAGTCAACAACCACACACACTAGCTCTAGTTCAACACGGCAGTTGCACTCAGCACATGCCTCACTCAAACGGTCAACGCCAATCCTACTGTTGTCAGAGCAACTGGCGATAGTCCGTCTGCGCCGTAAATACACAACCGACACCTTAAACCTCCGAACCACTAAACTCACTCGATTAGCCCAGTCCTACCATCCTGCAGTGCGACAAATGCCAAGACTCAAGTAACTCACGTCCCCCTTTCCAGGGAACCTGCACACATCCCGCTGCACTCTCGGACCACGTCTCTTTGCGTAGCAAGGTTCGACAGTCCACGAAATTGTCACACTCATACAGGTAAGTATTTTGCTTCCCCTTTTCTCACAAGCAACCCTCGATTCCTTCTTGACTACATCGCCTACTCCCACCGCCAGTCGCTCCTTTCTCTCGTTAAAGTTCGTCTTCTCCTTCCGCACACCATGCTACCTCATCTGCAATTGGGGAGCCATTCCGAATGACCACTCACCACGCCGAGCTGAAACAGCACGTCACCTTCACAATCGAGCACCCCCAGCGGCAAACCGTCGGGATCACCGTGATCCAAACACTTCACCGGACCATTCTCTCCTTCCTCTAAATGATAAGGTTTAATGAACTTCTCACAGCACCCCGATAGAGTGCAGTGCGATTAGTAGCTGTCCCAGTTTGTGAAAGGGGAAGCCTAGCTGTGCATTCCTCTCTGCCATTCATCCTATGCGCAAAACGAGAGTGAACATCCTCTGAGAATGAGGTTAGGTACGCATCTTTCCTCTTTACCTCTTCTCCCCACTTCCCTATGTTGTCCATATCAACTCTCGTTCACTCACTGGCAATCTCTCTTTTGCCGGATTACCCCGGGAGAGGACCTCCATCGATAGGATGTGCAGCAATCCGAACGAACCTTCCTCTAGAACATGGACATGTACATTGCCCCTTTCCTTGGGCGCAGCCAATATTGTCAATCCCAGCCAAACCACTCATCTATAGACAAAACTGACACTGCCATTAGACTCGCACCGCCCCAAACCCCCCATGTAGACACTTCATCCCTTCGAATCCGCTCAGAAATGAGTGAGGTAAGTTTACTTCCTCCTTCTTCCTCCCTCCTCCATAGCTCCTCGCAGTCTGATTCTCATCTAACTCCTAACTCGCTGACCCATTACCAAAACTAACAACATAATCTGTTTCGCCCAGCCCAAAAACCTCTAAAACGAGTCTTCTCTCGCTCGATTTCGCTAAGAAACGAGCGAGATACTTGACTTATACTCCCGGCCATATCCATCCTCGAACGCCTCCGCGCACCACTTTTCCAGTCTAACTCTTTCTCTACCCAACTAACGCTAAAACTAACAACACCAATGAATTGGCCCTACCCAAAAACCCGAGTTTACCACCTTTCCCCGCTAGTTTTCACTGCGAGACGAACGGGTCATGCCTCTTTCACCTCCTCCATAGCTCGCTGCTCCTGCGTTGTTGCACTCTTTCGTTCTGCGCATGCACCCAACGCAGAATCCCGCTCTAATTCATTCACCACTTTCCCCCCTTTTCTCTCTCTCTTTTTTTTTTTTTTTCATCCGGATTCAAGCCATCTTCTCTCTGCCTTCTTGCTCCCTTTTTGCACCCGTCCCTCCTCTTCTACGCGCTGGCCGCTGTCTCCCCACTGCACTGAGCTGCCTGTTCACCCGTATACCGTACGGGTCTTAGTTGACGCAGGCAGCGGGTCGGCGGTCATGAGAGCCGAGCACTTGCCAACTCAATCAACCGAAAGACTGATAGCGGTGTGGCACGCGACCTTGCGGTAGTGAACCTGGCATCACTGCGGGTTCGAGGGCGTCGGGCCTGCTGCGCAGCCAGCCACACATGCCTTGCGAAGCGGGTCCGGTGCAGTTCTTGGTGGTAGTAGTACCCCTTCAAATGAGAACTTAAAAGGTCGAAGTGGAGGTGGGTTCAATCTCGCATCTGCTGCTGGGATAGCCTGCCGCACTACGAAAAATGCGGCAGCCTCCCATGGGTACCCGCTGGCCCCACCCCGCTCAGGCATAGTTCACCATCTTGCATGCCCCAATGGCACGCTCACTCTCACACCTCTCACAACAGATGGTGGGGAGCGGACGATGCACCACATCGGTTGGCCCTTGGCCGACACCACCCACCTGTTGCAGCAGGTAGTGCACCTGTTTGGTGGGGCAGATCCCGCATGTTCCCTCGCTGGAGGCTTGAGCACGGATGTGGCTGCTATGGGGTTCCCTATAACCCGCAGCCTGTTGCCGTACCGCTACAGCCTCTCCACAATGACCCGGGCTGCTTTGCCTCTCTGCACCCGGGCACCGGTCACCATTTTTCGTGTCCCAACGAACACGCTCACACACAAACCTCTCACAACAAATGGTGGGGAGCGGACGGTGCACCGCAAGGGCTGGCCCCGCCATTCAGCCTTTTCTCCTGCACCGTGGGCCAACCTGAAGGGCGCACACCCAAGGTCCCCGACTCCGGCGACGGCAATCTGTGCCCGGGAATACCGTAACAGAGCCCGACGCATCGGTCCCGACGTCAGCCT